GAGTATATTTTTTACATCTGTTGTACCTTTGCAATTAGTCAGTGGAGATATAGATGGCCCCAATAAGATAATACTATGGCAAAATCCCCGTCCTTCATCACCCAGATATTGTCGACCAATTAAAATTCAATTTATACACGAGACCGTGGTGTGTATAGAAAATCAAATTKAAAAACTTCAACCATCTATTGTTCATTTTAACGATACTGAAATCATGGTGAAACATATTTTGATGTTTACTATGATTGATGGTAAAGTGTGTAACTCAGTCACTTCAACTAAGTCTGCAACGAGGTGTTATATATATATATATATATATATATGTGTGTGTGTGTGGAAGTACATCTAAAGATTTTAATAAAATTGAAAAAATTATAGATATAAAAACAAATGATTTAAATTTAAAGTTTGGGCTTTCAATTTTGCATGCGTGGATACGATTTTTTGAGTGTTTGTTATATTTGTCATACAAAATCGGCATCAAAAAGTGGCAAGGGCATGGAGATGAGGAGATAAGAAAAGTTTTGGAAAATAAGAAAAGGATTCAAGAAGATWTYAAATCTAAATTAGGACTACTGGTTGATATTCCTAAATGTGGTTATGGAACTTCAAATAACGGAAACACAGCGAGGCGATCTTTCGAAAATACAGAATTGTCATCTATTACTGGAGTAGATATTGAAATAATTAATCGTTTTAAAATAGTATTACTAACAATATCTAGTGGATACAAAATAGATTTGAAAAAGTTTAATAATTACTGTATATTAACTGCACAAAAATTTGTCGACAAGTATCYWTGGTATAACATGCCAACATCTGTTCACAAAATATTAATTCATGGAACTCAAATAATTGAGGCACTGTCAATATTACCAATTGGTCAATTTTCTGAAGAGTCAYAAGAAGCTAGAAATAAATATATAAAAAAATATAGAGAAGGATTTTCAAGAAAATGTTCTAGAATTAAAAATTTAGAGGATGTTTTTAATAGACTTTTAGTAAGTTCTGATCCATTTATTTCCAGTTTAAGGCAACTACCTCAAAAAAATATTAAACATATTCACCCAGAAGTATTGGAAATGATTTTGCCTCCAGACATCAACATAAAAACCATAAAAACAATAGAAACAGAGTCAGATATTAGTAGTGAAAATGAAGTTTCCACGTCGTCGAGTGAATAAATTCAACAGAAATGTGACTTATAATTTAATTTTTATGATATCTGTAAAATAATATTATTCTACTAAAATAACATGATATAAATAATTAAATGAAGTTAAGTAAATTGATTTTTAATTAGGTAGTATTTATATTTTGACCAGGTTTTTATGAAAATATCCCACTGTGCGCCGGTAGTATTAATTTTACTTGGATTTGGATTTAAATAGTATTTGGGTGGTACCTGATCTTTATTTTAAAATCATATGAGTAATAATYATAACTTGATACTTTTTTTAAAAACGTTTTTCATATTATCGAGTCTATATAACCAGCCGCCGGCACGAAGACAGTATTTGAGTCACTGCGGGACACCAGTCAGTGGGTGTATGAGGCTGGTTATTGGGGGGTATCGATTTTAAGAAATTTAGATTTACAGCAGCTGAATACGTGATTTTTTTAAACTTAAACCGTTCAATTTGTTGGGCAGTCGTCAGAGACGTCCAGTTATTATTATTATATTTTTGGCTGCGCGTAAGCCCGACCGGGCTGCAGCAGCCGGTGCGCAACGTTGCGTCATCTCATCATCTCGCGGACCACCCGATAGGCGATAACAGCTGATAACGCGCACACAAATGTGAAATTTCGCGCATACCAGCCGAGGTCTAGGTAAGTCCGCACGCGCACCGCGTACCGCTAACGCTCGGAGACGCACAGTAGCGCTGTAGCGGTTCGTCGTCGTAGTCGACGCGTAGACAATAATAATAATAATAATAACATTTTATTATACTCGAATAAAATACATCATTAAAACGGGTCCGCCGCCTCCGACGACGGYGAGAAGAACTATTGTGTGACTGGGTCTTTCCCTACTCGTTTACGCAACTGGCGACGGCGACTACCAACCAACTCGACTCGGATTTACAATTGTTTTTTTTCTTTCTTTATTACCAAGCTTATTTTTTATAATATTGATAAGCTACTCGTCTGCAGTAAGTTGTAGTTACCCACAATCTAGTATCTATATTCTACGTGCTATAGGTACCGTTGTCGTTCGTTTATACCCGAATGTAATTAATAATAATAATAATAATAATAATCATTATTATTATTATTATTAATCAGTGGTACTAGTGGTAGTCTACACTGGACGCTTGTGAATAAATTGTTGATAGTGTCGCCAACGCCGCACAAGCGCCAACGACCAGCGTTTTCGCCGGCATAGACGGCCGATTCGTGGCAAACGAGCTTTGCGCAAAACCCGACCACCACCGCCACTGCGAGACGGGCAGAATGACGATTACCTCTACTCGCTAATCACCGCGATTCTCGGCAATACTACGATAACGTTTAACTGTAATTTGGTAATAATAATAAATATTTACTCTACACTGTCTAGTAGAGCTTATAAGTTATAATACGTAGCCACTGTCTAGCCGCGAGTGTYAGTTTTTCAGTTTTCCACCTCCACCTACACCGTCGCTGGTGAGCGTGTGTGTGTGTGCGATTGTGATTGTGATTTGCGAGAAACAGTGTTTGTGTGCGTGCGTGCACTTTAGCGAGCCTCGACGTCCTAGTTCCGATATCGTTTCGTATTGTTTTTCGTTTGTGCCTCAAACCGGACTTCCGCCTTCACATTGCCGCAGTTAAAGTATAGCATCGCCAACTCTGAGAGTTCAGTGCGAGGTGCGAACTGATATTTTTACTTCGCTTTTGCCCGCCACCACTTCTCTATTGTGCTTAATTCAATCTTAGGGTTTAACATCTATCTGTCCGTTGATATGACCACCACTGCTGTGATCGCGTGGAAGTGAGCGTGAGCTCGATCAGCTCTCTATCAGCCGCCTGACAAACCATATCAACAGTCTTATTGCAGACTCTCACTGCTCCACTTCAATGCCCACCACGTCAAACACAGAATGATGAACGGTGTACCAAAGAAACGCACCAACTTGCGCATCAAAGCTTTCCCGGTGAGTCCATCAACTCATCAAAATTCCTCTGTTACTATGATAGTATTGTTGTCATACCACACAATAGGCATGTCAGTTGTCACATTTTTAATCTTTTTACTATCCACCCATCGACCTAATAGTTATATCCTCGTAGTTGAATTTATTTTGAATATTCTCATCTCGATTCTCACTTTGATTCTCACTATTCATTTTTATGTTAGTTGGTATACATATTTACATAGGTATAGCTGTACAGGATCTCCTTTTCTGCTTTGAAATACTCGAAAAAAATACCTCTAGTTTATTAGATGCATAGTATTTTATGTCTGAAAAACCGAATGTTATTTTAATGCATTGGGATAGTCACAGTTWGGTAAATTTTCATAAAAATAGTAATAATCTACCTTATTATTTATAATTTGTAACGCTTGGAAGATAATGACCTTAAAACAATTTAAAAAATGCGAATATGACATAACAATAACAATGATAAAAAATGACCTTAAAAACTAGCAAATAATRGTTTAAAATTAATAAAAATWAAAATTAAATAAATGCTTAAAAATTAATTTAAAATTATTGCATTAAATTATTAGAGTATATTTTATGTTGTAAAAATCAAATGAATAACAGCTAGTTATTGTATAAGAAATAATAATTATTATCCATTTAAGTGATTAGGACAAATTTGACATGAGCCAAATCTTGAGCAATGATGATATCAGCAAAATACTTGGTTACTATTGAAGTTAAGCTTCTTTAAACTAGTGGAAATAAGTATAAATGACCACAAAAATATGGTAAATTACCTAGGTACATAGTAAAAAAAGCTAGATAATCCAAAAAAAAATTGTTAGGTATCTAGCCTTGCATGCTATTAAAACACATTTACACATTTACAGCTATGAAAACATTGTCTAAGAAGTTCCAGAAAAAAAACTATATGTAAGATACATAAACTTAAGAGCCTTAATAATAGATAGACTTTCTATAATAGAATTATTAAATCAAAAATATTGCCAACTTTTTCTAAAAAAAAAACAGTCTATATTAAATTATTGGTCAAATAAAAATATTTTGAATATTATATTAATTGTGCTGTTTCTTATGTGGAAAACTAGAAAGATATCAATTAATGATTATTTTATTTTATTTTCATCCCTATTTTCATTTTGGGCATTAAAAATAGAGATACAATTTAAGCTCAAATTTAAGTAATGTAGTCTTATACATTTACTCAACCTTCACTTCTAAACTGCCTAAAGCAGCTCTTATGCTACATATATTTAGATAAACTTTACAATAACTATATGAATACTTAAATAGCCGCCCTCAATATAGTAACAGATATATAAACAACAAACCTCAACATAAACTTAGCAATTAAACAAATTATATGGATAATGTATCACCATTTATACTATTTTGATTAATGTTTCAAAATGGTGCATAACAAGCATACTTATATTCAATAGATTTGTTTAAAAAATGTACCTGTAGATATTAGTTGTCATCAAATCATAAGTGATTCCAATTACAAATTACTTTATTAAYAGCACCCATGTAAAAATATTTTTATTTATATTATGTACTACCCCCAGTACTACCTAATTAGAACACGAGTTAGAACATGAATAGAAACATAACAACTGAATTTTTTTTCTTTTTGTTAGGTAATTGAAACCATRATACAATTAATATTGTAATTTATAAATAAAATACCAACCACGAATTTTATTTAAATTAAGGTAAATAATAAAATACAAATGTACAGTTTTTTCTTCAAAAATAAAATCTTTAATTGTCTTATAATAATTATGTAGGTAAATACCTTTTTACAGATATAATTATTTGACTTTTTCTCGGAATTTTAAGTATAAGCAATTTAGATGTACCTATATTGGCAATATCACCCTCCCAATTRCCTAATACAAGTAAAATTAAATAGACCAACAAACCAAGTCTTGAATTAAATCAACATGATATACTAAAGTTGAGTTCTTTGTTGACTTAAGAATTTATTTAGAAGGGTTACATATTTTATTTTATTTGTTTTTAAAAATCACGCTAAACTGGTTTTTTATGGAATACAGTTGATTAGTGCCTGTTACTTGTTAGGATAGTCTTGATGGCCATACAGATTATCACAACATTTTTATTTGTTACTTGTGTTAAGTTATAATTGTATATTATAATTAGGTACCAACTACTAGTCTATAATTTTTAATTTATGGTTTAACTTTTAAAAATAAGTAAATACTATTGAATTTTAATTTTGGATACAACTTAGTGTTGAATGTCAACACATAATATTCTGCATAACAGGGGCATATTTAGATTTTTTTTTTGGGGAGGGGGGGCTGTGGTATTTTCTCCAACTGAAATTCTCAATTCAGCCTATTAAAAACGTGAGTTAGAAAATTAGTACACAATTTTTAATTTTTGTTATGATTAATTAATAATAAAATAATAATAATAATAATATAACAAATCATTTAAATTTCTTTCTTTGCCGCTGTTGGCAAATTTGTCTAATAAAATGTCATCTGGTATGTCAATAGCTAAAAGTGCAAGTCCCACTACTCTGGATTCTGAAATTGTATTTCTTAAATATGTAAAGTCTTCTCAATGTCGAAAAGCAGCGTTCAGCTGAAGCGGTGGATACTGGTGTTATAGCTAGTATTTTTAGTAATTCCTACATGTTTGGGTACATTAAGTTATCACAGATACTCAAAGTTTCTATAACAGTTTTGGGCCTTAAGTTGTCTTCAATATTTTTCCACTTAGCTTGCCAAATTTCGTACTCTGCTTTTATAACGTAATTTAGCCCCGGTAAATAATTTTCATAAAATTTAACAGCTTTTATATAAATTATACCTGATTATACCGTATAATCGTTACAAACAAAATCGTCAGACACATTACATGAATAACTTGTTCGTTGTTATCTACTAATAATTCTTTATACAATTTTATAAAACTTTTACGATTTATATCTGATAGGACATAATAAGCAGACTTCATAAATAGTTCCTGGATTTCGGGGGGGGGGGGGGGGTTGAAGCCCCCTCAGCTCCCCCCATAAATACACCCCTGCTGCATAATATACATGGTGTAACAGTACTATTTGACAAATATAGTAATTTTTGTAATGGAAATTTGTATTTTTTGTATTTTGTGTAAGACAGAAATAACATATTATGCATGTGTGGTGTCGTTTTAATTACTTTTTAAAAGTATAATACTTGATTCTGAAATAAATTGTATGTTGTAAAWTTTTAATAATTGTATACTTATTAATTGTGAAGGTTTTCATTTATTTATGGCATAATATTTAATATTAATATATTTCAGATGTCAATGGATGATAAATTGATTGATAATATTTGGGTGTTATTGAAAAATGCTATTCAAGAAATTCAAAAGAAAAACAATTCTGGTCTAAGTTTTGAAGAACTGTACCGAAATGCTTATACCATGGTATTGTTGAAACATGGTGAGAAATTGTATACTGGCATGAAAGAAGCTGTAATAAGCCATTTAGAAAATAAGGTATAGTCATTAATAATTATTTAAAAAATAGCATAATATTACATAATAATTATAAGAAGGTAATATTATCAAATTTAAAATACATAAATATTTTTAGGTTAGAGAAGATGTTCTAAAGGCATTAAATAACAATTTTTTACAAGTTTTAAATGTTGCTTGGAATGACCATCAAACTTCTATGGTGATGATACGTGATATTTTGATGTACATGGACCGAGTTTATGTTAAACATAATGAAGTTGATAATGTTTATAATTTGGGTCTTGTTTTGTTTCGCGATCTAGTAAGTTGTACAAATTTAAATTAGTATTGATATCAACTAACTAATAATTTTTGAAAAAAATGTACAATACATTATTTATAATTTGAATAGTTTTCTTTTCTATATTCACGTTAAGAAGGTACCTCAGCGATGACCAGTTTTAATCTAACTGTCAACATTATGACACCTAACCATTTTCCTTTTTCTTCTCCACTGTTGTTGTGCATAAAAAATTACAAGCTAAGATTCCTTCTTAACTTGAATGGAATTTAGTATCTAAATATTCTTCTTATTTTTCTTACTATAGACTATTAAATTATGTATTCAAAGATTTATGAAAATATCTTTTAATGCATAATGTATATTTTTATATTTCTAACTATATTATTTGTTCTTATAGATTGTTCGCTATGGGTATATYCGTGATCATCTTCGAATGACTCTGTTGAATTTGATAAAACTTGAAAGAAAAGGTGAAGTAATTGATAGAATAGCCATTAAAAATGCATGTCAAATGTTAATGATTCTTGGAATTACTGGACGTATGGTTTATGAAGAAGATTTTGAAAAACCGTTTTTGGAACAATCTGCTGAATTTTATAAAGTATTTATGCACTTAAGTGATAATAAATTTATAATTAATCTGAAACTTTGCATATTTCTAGATGGAAAGTCAAAAGTTTTTAGATGAGAACAGTGCGTGTATTTATATTAGAAAAGTTGAATCTAGAATTATAGAAGAATCAGAACGAGCAAAACATTACCTAGATGATTCAACTGAGAGTCGAATTGTTGAAGTTATTGAAATAGAACTAATTAAAAGGAATATGAAAACCATTGTTGAAGTAGTTATTCAATTATTTTAATCTGGAATTTAATTAGTTGATATTTTAAGTTGTTTTAATAATTGTATATTATTTTTAAGATGGAAAATTCTGGTGTTGTATACATGTTAAAGAACAACAAAATTGATGATTTAGCATGCATGTACAAGTTATTATCACGGGTTTCTGAAGGTTTAAAAACTATGTCTGATTGTGTTAGTCAGTATTTACGGGAATTAGGAAAATCACTCGTACAAGAACAAGATATTAATACTAATGCAGTCAACTATATTCAGGTCATTAAAATTTAAATGCATTAATATATCTCAAATTGTAATAATATAAATAGTTCTTTAATTTTAATGTATGGAATATTTTGGAAATCGATTGTTGTGACTTTATAAACMAAAAAAAATTGTCATGAAAGAAACTAGCTTTGAAAAAATATTATAGACTAACATTTTAGATATATCAATATTTATTTTATTTGAAATTATACGTTTACGTATCATATGAATATTAAGATGTAATAAAAAAAGTTTGAAATTTAGACATTTTTTTCACATTATTTAAATTAAATAAGTACTATGTTTTTTCTTCAGAACTAAATGCTTTCCCTGGGACTTTCCCTTACTTAATTTAACKTTCACAAATTGATTAACTTAAACTTAGAAAAAAAAGGAAGTATTACTTCAATTGTATTGTTTTAATTAAAACAATACAAATACAGATGTTATYCAATATGTGCTATAAGTAAACAATAAAAGTTGAATTATTGTTCCATTATACTATAGCGTAATTCCTATAATAATATGTTTTCACATTAAAATATTAAGATAACATTAAGGGCTGACATGTTTTTGTTGCTTTATCAGTGCTTACATAATAGCCAATGTTGTTATATATGAATTCCACTTTATTTAATAGTATAATTAATATTACTACAATTTTTTTTTT